TTGGGCAGAAAGTGCTAAAATAAATAACAGAAATTAGTAAAAACATAAGTTTATAGACCTCAGGTTATTTTACCAGTAATAACTTCCTTAAACGTCCAGTATTCGTCGATGGCGGTCTCGTTCTCTTCCTCGTCTATGGGCGTGGTGAAAGTTTCAAGGCCAGTTTCATTTAAATCTCCAACTGATTCCTCTGCTTCATCGTCCGAATCTTCTTCGTCATCCTTGAGTTCGGCTTTCACCTCAAAGCCGGCAACAGCGCCTTTCGTTTTGGTGTAATCTGCTAGTTTATCCAAATAGTTTGGCGCCATCTCATCCATTTCATCTTCATCGCTCGACAAAGCCTCTGTGGGGTAGCAATAGATGCGATAGTACCACTTCAGTTTACTTCAGTTAGGCTTTCAATTATATTCTTACCCTCGCAATCATCGCCATCCTCCTCTTCTTCTTCCTCTTCCTCCTCCTGTGCGCGCGATTCATAGGCTCGCTTAAGCCCGTCGAACAACAATATCAGCGATGGCACAATCTTGCCCGCAACCTCGCTAAGCACCTGAGGCTTGGCATCGCCCAGCGAGATTAGAGTACATAGTCCCAAGACGCACAGCTTGCGATCATGAATGCTAAATAAATATATTAATTAGTTTACAGTTGAAGGTAGTTAAGAAGTTTAACGTACCCAAGGAAACAGTCCGTATCATGCAGCCATTGTTTAATGAAGTGTGAGCTGATTGGTTCGTTGTTTGGCTGCGACATCTTGTCCAGAATGGAGAGCAGCAGTTGTGGGTTGTAATACAACGCCGCAATGACCACCTGTAGGCACATAGTGCGCAGCTCCGATGACTGCACCTCTCGTGTCAAACGCGACAGGGCCAGCTCCACAAACATGTGTATCACCGAATCAATTTGTCCCTTGCATTGCAGTATAATTACCTCCATCAATTTGGCAGCATGACATTCGGGATCCTCACCAGGATTGCTAGTCAGCATCTACACAAATAAAAGCAATCAAATAAAATAAGACCGAACACGGCAAATAGCGTCTTTAGTCCCGCTTACAGTTTTGCACATGTCCAGAATCGCCAGGAGACGGTTTGGATTTGAAAGGAAGGCCGGCGTATCGACGGTTACATAGTTATGCAGCGCCGGCATGATGTCAATGAAATAATCGACGCCATCCTTTTTGAAAACCTGATAAATGAGCTCTAGCATTTGCCACATTTCGGCTGAAATTGACTTGGACGTTAAATCGTAGACAAGCGAGAAGGTTTCCTCATAGAAATCTTTGAAAAAACGCAAAATAAATATCTACAATCTTAGATATTTTGATAGTTCTTAACTCACCGGTAATGTTGTGCTGGAATATGTGACCTACTACGTTAATCACAATTGGATGCAAGTTAAGCAGCACGTCCGGATGTTCCTCCATAACGCTGAGCAGTGTTTCTATCGTATTTAGCAGACCCATGGCCGTAATGGCTTTCTCATCAGATCCCTCCTCCGATTCCAGCACTTGACTAAATGTTGTTGCCAAATGCTGACAAATTTCCGTTGCAACCGGCAACAGTTGCTCCGTAAATGTGCACACAATCTTCTGCATGACATTTGTCAAGTCTTCGTTTTCAGTTTCGCGTATGATGGTCAACAGCTCCTTGGTAATCTCTTTGATCTGAGACTCCACATATTGCGGTGCTTCGTCCTGAGATGATAGGAACATTTGAAGGCCAATGGCGGCCTCCACCTTAACGGGGAGCTCTTTATCCGTCAGCAAGGCGTTGGTTGTCAGGCGCATTGTTTCGGCCAGCACATGAGGGTTCTTGATTTGGACATCGCAAAAATAGTGCAAAACCCAACAGGCACGTGCACGCATATGACCGGCCGGATTCTGGAATTCCGGAAACACATAGGTAGTCAGCATGGACTCAACCTGATCGCGATATAACGTCTTCTTCAGCAAGACATCGGCCAGTGTGCCAATCATGTGAAGTGCACCATCCTTTTGCTTGTTATCCGCATTGGGCGATGTAATTATTTGCATAATGGTAGCCATCGCCTTAGGCAGAATGCCCTTACGTTTCTTACAGACGGAATGCAGTAGCGACTGAGCAGCCGGCACGGGCGTGGCATAATCCTCAAAGATATCTATTGAACGAAGCGGTTAGATGATGATCAAAAAATGTATACAGAATTGAATGTCGCTAAGGGTATACCAAATTTGAGGCGAATGTATTCATAGGGATCGCTCTCCCATAGTTCCTGATCCGAGTCGGTAAATGACATGATGGGGAATATGACATCCTGAATAACAGCCACCATGTGCGGTTTGATCAGCTTCCAGGTGTAGGCATGGCTCACACTAAAAGGGAAAATGAAATTTAAAACAATTGTGGCATGCTTTCACTAACATTAGCTTGTTATGCAATGTCTTAGATAAAGAAAACTTACGCAATCTTCAGATAGTTCAACACATCAGTAAGAACACGCGGCGATACATAGACACGATTGCGATATTGGTCCAGGATTTTGAGCAGCACCTCCAAGACGCCAGAACTGAAGGTGGGCAGATACCATTCGGCGAATTTTTGATACTTTTCGCTAACAACACTGCTGGGACTGCCATAGCTGCAAATAAATTGACAGACATTAAACAATTATGTCGAAGACTTGCATATAATAATACTCTATGAACTTACCGCTCAAACATGCGCACCATTATGTGCAGCGCCCATTTCTTAGTTTTCCAATAAGGGAATTCGGTGCGCTCATCGTCATCTAGATGTGAACAATCGGGCACAGCGCGATCAGCAATCTGACGACAAATTTCCATCCACTGCGAGAATATCTCTTTAGTGATGAGATCAAGCGGCAGACTGTACTGCGTTAGTGCATAATAAATCTTGAGTATTTGTTTTTGCAACAGCACCGATTGCTCCGACTGATCGTTGAGCAACGTCATCATGAGCTGATAAATCATTGGCAACAGCAAATTCATTGCTTCATTGAGCGGCGTGCGTTCTTCGAAGCGCTTGTATTCGTAGGTCTTGACCAGCTGATACATTGTAACCAGGGCGCCGTTCCAGCCATTTACATCCGGATTTTGCAAGTAAATGCTGATGTTGTCCACCACCTGGGGCCAACGACCGGGAAAATCGCTCTTTATGATATGATTAACACAGACAGAGAGCTGAACTCTGTAGAGGGCATGACAATCATGATTAGATTTTATTGTACTGAATACCGAAAATGTGACAACAGCTTACCTGATCAGCTCTGGAGCATGCACAATGGCATCCACAATTGCGCTGCGTATCATGGCGCGATCTTGTTCGTGGATGGAAAATGGTATGGGCTCACCAGGCTTAGTCTCATGATCTGACCAGCTGCTATTGATCAGGTTCTTTAGATAGACAGCGCCCGCCTGTCTCACCGGCTGCTCCAGCGTAGTTTGCATAACGATTTGCAGAATAGTGGGCACAAAACCAATGATTTTGTGTATCTGAGGCAGAGAACGTGAGAGAACATGTGTAAGTAGGTTTTCCGTCTGTTGATTTGTTTACACAGCTGCCGCATAACATGGCGTATGAGTAATACGATTCAGTGGCATACACAAGGGATAACATTTCGCATGCCAATCCAAAGATTGGAAAAATTATATTGATAAAACAATAGCAATACATGTAGCACCAGCCACGAAGCTCCTCCCAAATCGTAACACTTAAAATTCTAAGCACAACTCCCATATATACATGCTATATATTTAAATGGCATGCGTTTGCCCATTAAAGAAGCTCTGAACAGTGTGCCGTGGCCGTGGCAGTAATTTGCAATATATGCTGATAAAGTTAATTAACCGATTGAATAAGGAGGGGCATGGAAATTGTTAGAAGCTGACTCAGCCACAAAACAAGAGGCTCTTGGACAGTGGTGCAAGATGAGTGGCTAATTGAAGAAAGTGTAATGTTGCGTCTCATAAACTCAGAACTCAATTGCTTTCAATTAATTACATTGAAAGCTAGTGTAAAAATAATATAGCATGAGCATATTTTCAATTAATTGATTTAAAATTGTTGTCATTTTAATAATGTTTTTATTTAGTTTCCCACATAATTTGTGTATGTGGGAAAAAAAGATATTCAATTATTTCAAATGAATTCCAAGACACGGTGCAGCACACACACTCGCATAGACACTTTGCACATGTGTATGTTGATTCGCTCAGTGCATTTGTAAGCGCACCACCCGCGCGTCTCCCATCAACAGTACTTGTTGCCGCACGGCCGATGGGCCAACGGGCCAAATTGTGTGCCACAGCTAAATGTATTGCAAACAAGAAATAGTCGTTGCCTTCTGCTGTTTTTGGCCAATATCAATTTACTATTGACACTAGCACGCCCGCACAGCAGCACACGGACACATATATACACACACACGCACACAGAGCAGATAGACAGGGAGGGAGGTTAAAAGCGAACAATTAAAAAAGCACATGGTTTTCTTCATGCTTTGGCGTAGGCGCCACTAGGGTAGAAGAAAGAAGGTCGTGTCATGGCACTTTGCTGGTTAGTAGCTGGTCACTTACTTGTGCCAATTGATCCTCGGCCGCTTTCCTTTGCTCCGGATTTGGATCAATGGTTGCGCGCAACAGTTCCGTCAATTTTTGTGCCTCCATTTTCGTATTTGTGGATTGTCCTATTCGCCGGTTTTGCTGTGATTGCTGCACAAACAAAGAAGCGCCCACTAAGCACCCGCAATTCGCTAACGTTTAGCTTAATTATCGATATAAATGGTGCACTGGCAAGGCCAATTGCAAAATTATACGTTAATAGGAAAAACGTGGAAAAAGGCTGTCACAGCCACACACACAGCGCCGAAATTTGCGAGTCCGCACGAAGCGTGTGATATATTATCGTTGTTGACACTAATAGTTTCGATTGTTTTTGACAGTGTTGTGAAACGCATTCGGCCAATGCAACGCTGTCCATATAGATGTTGTGAATGTGTGTGTGAGTGACAAAGAGCGAAGTTTTTCTAAATGACACATCGTCGCTGGAGGAGGTGTGGTTGAAAATTTATAAAGTTTGGTGTTTATCAGCAAGGCAATCCAGTTGAAAGTGGTGTGAAATTCAAGCTTAAAGTGTAATTTAGCCCATTAAATAGCAATATTAATCAAATCCTCAGTCAACATGGCAGGCAGGCTACCGGCATGCGTAATCGATGTGGGCACCGGGTAAGTCTCGTGTGTGGTAGTTGTAGCTGCTATCGTCTGCGGAGGGAGGTGCATTGGCTGTATTGAAGCCTAATGACCCAATGTTTATCTTCGTAGCTACACTAAACTAGGTTATGCTGGCAACAAGGAACCACAATTTATAATACCCTCGGCTATTGCCATCAAAGAGTCAGCAGGTGTGGGCGACACCAATAAGCGACGCGTCACAAAAGGCATCGAGGATCTGGACTTTTTTATTGGCGACGAGGCGTTCGACGCCACGGGCTACTCCATTAAAGTGAGTCAGCAATATTATCTATACCAAGCTTATGTTTAACCGTTCCTAAAGGTATCGGAATTCGTAAAATCGCCGCGATATGAAAACAGCTGATATGAAGTGATATGTGGGGCAGATGGGTTTAAACATAGAGATCTAAGCGTTATTGTTGTGCTATTTACTTAAGTGTTGAGCTTCTGTGTTTACAGTATCCTGTGCGTCATGGCCTTGTGGAAGACTGGGATCTGATGGAGCGCTTCTTGGAGCAATGCGTGTTCAAGTATTTGCGTGCCGAGCCTGAAGATCATCATTTTCTGCTGACCGAGCCACCACTAAATACGCCAGAGAATCGAGAATATACCGCTGAAATCATGTTTGAAACGTTTAATGTTCCTGGTCTTTATATTGCGGTTCAGGCCGTTCTGGCATTGGCTGCCAGTTGGGCATCTAGATCCGTGGAAGAGCGCACGCTAACCGGCATTGTAGTAGACAGCGGTGATGGTGTGACGCATGTTATTCCAGTGGTAAGTATGTAACATTATTCAATTGGCCTGCATATCTTATCTCAGTTCTCTACTCCCTCTTACTTTTCAACAGGCGGAAGGTTACGTGATTGGCTCATGCATCAAGCATATACCGATTGCCGGACGCAACATTACGTCGTTCATTCAAAGTTTATTGCGAGAACGGGAGGTGGGCATACCGCCAGAACAGAGCCTCGAGACTGCCAAAGCGATTAAAGAGAAACACAGCTACATATGTCCAGACATAGCCAAAGAGTTTGCCAAGTACGATGCGGAGCCCAGTAAATGGATACGCAATTTTACGGGCCTCAACACGGTGACGAAACAGCCGTTCAGCGTCGATGTGGGCTATGAACGTTTTCTCGGACCGGAAATCTTCTTCCATCCTGAGTTCTCAAATCCAGATTTTACCATACCGCTTTCGGAGATTGTTGACAATGTCATACAAAACTGTCCAATCGACGTACGACGACCTCTCTATAACAATATTGTACTGAGCGGCGGCTCGACCATGTTCAAGGACTTTGGCAGACGCTTGCAACGCGACATTAAGCGATCGGTGGACACTCGTTTGCGTATTAGCGAGAACCTGTCTGAGGGACGCATTAAGGTAGATATGCTGACGACTTAAAACAATGAGTCATAATCTTAAACATGTATCGGTTTCAGCCAAAACCTATTGACGTGCAGGTGATTACGCATCATATGCAGCGTTATGCCGTCTGGTTTGGAGGCAGCATGCTGGCTTCAACAGTAAGTAGTGAATTTAAGTAAATGGCACATTTCGGAAATAACTTAATTTGCTTGTTTGCAGCCGGAGTTCTATCAGGTATGTCACACAAAGGCTGCCTATGAGGAGTACGGACCGAGCATTTGCCGTCATAACCCCGTCTTTGGTACCATGACATAATCATAATCGTTTAAAGTGCGTGACTGTCTGTCGAATTCCGCGTTATTATTACCTATTATTTTCGTTTTGATTTCGTTTTCTATATTCAAAATGCGATCACGTATTCCACGCTAAAGTATTGCTTAGCCGTTAGTAATGATTTTCTATGTGTTAAGCTCTAAAGTTGTCTAAAATGTTTCTATATATCAGCAATACGCGTAAATCATATTTGGCCAAATGTTTATTTCTTGTGTGATTCTGATTTTGAATTTAAGCTAAAAGATCTTTAAACAACAATGTCTGCCAGTTAAACTTTTTATAAGGTGCATTACTTCTACAAGATTATATAATTGTATATGTGTAACTTTTTATATCCTAGAAACACATCCAACACACATACATACTTACACACACAAACAAACCAAACGGCTCTCCATTGAATCCCGCTCTGAACACAATTATATATGAAATTGTACTTGTCATAGTAATATTTATATATTGCAATAACTGCAAAAGGTTTATATGTAAAAGAGATAATATTGATGAGAAATCTGTTTGTTATATTGATAAGCGTAACTGAAAAAGGCATTCATTAAATCAATAAAACATTCTTTAAGCTCAAGGTGACATGGACATCAACAATAATTTCCCGTAACCCAAACAGTAAAAATGCTCGTTTATTTGTTCTAAAGCTTTGACAAAAAATTTATTAATGGATGAATACACATGTGTATTAGAAATTTTATATTGAAATTTTGTGACAGCTGCGCCTAAGCAACAAAAAGCGACAAGTTTTTTAAAAACCCTGACGCGAGAGCCCCGCTCTGGGATGCTGCATACTAAGCGATGCAAATATTAAACTCTTTAGTTTATAGAAATGTGCATTGTTGTCTTTAAGTGGCTGTGAGGGATATAATATATTATAATAATAATATTATTAATTGACTGACTGTTCTAATCCACATAGTCGCTAGATCCTTCTTCCTCGTCGTCGTTGCTGCTGCTCGACTGGGCAACGGCTGTTTCTGGAGAGCGCAAGTGCTCGGCAATGCGAAAGTTTTGCAAAAAGTCACGCATGGCGTCCATCATCAAAGTCAACGATTGCTGAATACCAGCTTCTACAGGAATAAATTAACAAATATACACAGAGATAATGAGATTATAGTTGCAACCAGAAAAACTAACATTTACAAACGAGACAAAACCAAATCAAAATTTAACCTTCTGCTTCGCCTTGGGCGTTGGGCTGTCGCTGCGGAAAGCCTGCAATTTCTGGTGCTGCGGCGCCAGCCTCTGCTGCGGCGTCCGGTTGCTGCTGTACGGCCGCAATATTGTTCAGATTGAATGATGGTAACAACGATTGGAAAAACATAGATACAGAGTTGTTGGTATTTGTGGTTGGGCTGCTGCTCGAAGATGATTTTCTGTGAAATCAAGAAGTTAGCAATGAAAATCCTCTAGGATCCAGTCATAGTTTTTTTCTTTAACTAACCGCTGGTAGCAATTGACACTGTCAACGGGTGGTAGCGGATCGTATGTCATGATGGCCTGCTTTTCTTTCGAGACGAAAACGGCCAGCGGCACCTTCTCCTTGTAGTCAGATAGTATGACATGTCGTAAAATGGGACGAGGTGGTGTTCCGCCGTAGCGAACTGATCGTTTATCTTTGTAATCATTGATAATCGGATCTTTGCTGTCTATGCGATCCATTACAGCATTTACATTCGTTTCCAGCCAAAAGAGAACATCGTTCTGACGCCACACAACCTTGGCGCGGCACACATACAAGCAAACAAGCTGGTGGAGCGCTGGCGATTGACTAAAACGGAGAACGAGAGAGAGTTTATTGATTAGATTGGACTAACCGAGGCTGATAATATGAATGGTGACTCACTCGCCAGACACATCGGTAAAGAAATACGATGAGGCCAGCACGCGTTTATCCGTTTGTACAGACATCTCATCTAGCAGCGGACGCAGCACGCCGGGAAACATGAGCAACGCATATTGCAGAGCCTCATTGGCACGCTCGCATCTGCCGTGCAGCGTGTAGAGCGCCAACGCATAAGAGTATGCCATGTTGGGCAACTGGGCAAGATTGCGTGATGAATTATATAACTCGTAGAATTCCACTAGCCAGCCGAATTGCTTGCTCCGCAAGGCGTAATAGTCGATGACTAGTACCATGGCCAACGGATCAACATCAGGCTGCAGACTCAATACCAGCTTGGAGATTTCGAAAGCTGTCCGGCAACAGGCACGCTCCTCCAAATACTGAGCGTGCTTAAAGAGCACAACAAAAAAGGCGCGATTCTCCTGCCGTCGGTAGTCCAGACGGGAGTTGCCAGATGTCAGGCTGAAGTTGATGTGCAGTGAAGATTCCAGCAGCAGCAGTGCACGCTCGATGAGCTCGGACGCTAGAGCAAAGTCCTCGGTCATCTTGCAAACCTCACTTAGCTGCACCAGGGAGTCGACATGGTACGGACAACGCTTTATTAGTGTGATCAAAAATTCCGAATCAATGCGTTCCAATGCAGACAGAAACATGTGCTGCACGCCCTGATAGTACTGACTGTGCTGGAATGTGAACCATTGCACATTCTCTTCGTCGTTTATTTGAATTCTCGGACTGGTGGATGTGCCAGGCGTTTCGGGTGTTGGCAGCAACTTCATTGTGATGATGTTTTTGGTCAACGGCGGCCATGAATCCTTGGCAGTTACCATATAGGTGGATTTAAGTGTGGTCTTTTGGCGACCGCGCTTATTTCTAACAGAGAAGTATCATCAATTATTTCCATAGCTAAGCTTAGTTGTTGGGATTGAAACTTACTCAACCTTGACAACGCGCCTGCCAAAAGTGCGTCGCATCTCGTTTTGTTGATTCAAGTGTTTTAGCTCTACCATTAATAGTTTTTGGCTAGCTAGTTGACCGCCCCCTGCTGCTGCTGCAGCCGCTGGTGGGGCCGGTGTCTTCTCCAATTGTTTGGGTACAGCATCGTAGACTTTGCCCAGAAGTGGATCAACTTTCTCAAAGTATTTGTCCTGGCGCTCGTTGTCTTCGCTACTGATATGATTGCCATGGGACCTGACCTTCTTCTTCCGTTTCTTCTTCTTTTTTTTAGCAGCGGTATTTGCCTGTATTGCCGCCGATGGGTGCTCCGTCTCGTTGTCGTCCTCTTTGAATTCGCTCTCCGAGAGACTCTGTTGGTTCAGCTGCAAATCACACATAAATTAGTTAAGCCAACGTCGCACATTGAAAACGTATGTATACTAACCAAATCAAATGGGTTTAAATGCGATTTTCCTCTGACCGTGTCTAGTTCGTCATTGTCAGTTAAGTGGTCGTTGTCCAATTCATCATCGGGCGGCGGTGCTAGAATGTCTGATCCGCCCTGCATCTTTTTTAGCATTCGTGCGGACATGTTTTTAGTTGTTACTAAGCAAATTTACACATGTGAAAAATTATTTACAAAAAAAACTACAATTAAATGTCGTTTCCCTGTTCTATTTTATTTGTTTTTGTCACGAAGACTGACGTCCCTGTCAAAATATACAGAATGTTATTAACATAACAGCCAGAATTACATTATTTACTGTGAGCGGTCTGGTGGCTCTCGCTCTTATCATTTTTGTTCTCGCATAGTACCGGTCACACTTGCATTCCGGCTGCTGGACCAGCGCACGAAACGGAGTTTTTGTATATTTATTTTTTTTTTTCACTTGTGGATATTCATATTAAGCCATTTGTTTACTTTGTTTTGGTGACTTAATGTTATTAACTATTATTGTTGTTTACTTTGTTAAGTGTTGCTGCCAGTGGTCAAAGTAGTAGAGTCCAAGTGAAGCTCACTTTGGAAAAGAAGCTATCATCAATTTTCGCGCCCGCGCCATTTTTTGTATTTTTAATCATTTTTCATCATTATAATTATGGTGGCCTTAAGCATAGATGGCCTTAACAAAGTGCCAGTTGAGCTAGAACCAGACATAATATATCGTGTTGGACGCCGGTTGGGTCTAGAGTTTTTTATAGACGATGAGGTGAGAAGTCTTATTGCTCCCTTTGCACTACACACAAATGAAATTCCTATCTATATTTACTTGGTTCCTTAGTCTATTGAGCTCGCGCATGCTACAATCGTTATTATAGCCGGCGGAATTGTGCGTGTATCAGCTGCGACTGGCCAAGTTTATGTGAAGGGCCTGGAAACGGGACTGGAAATAAAGAGCATAAGCGAAGCAGATGCCATCAACGGAATTGTGGATTTGCGCTTTGGTAATGTGGCTGCCAAACTGCAATTTAACGATGGCAAGCACCTGGATAACGGAGCGGTAATTATATCAGTCAAAGAGTATTGCAAATGATAAACTATTTGAATTGCAGGCAAACGACACTAGTGGCTTTGAGGAGGGGACGAAAGATAAGTCGGCTTATAGAACTTCTGGGAGCCTTATCATTCCTGAATCTGAGCCGCAATCTGCAAACAATACGGCGAATATGGAAAGTTTCACCATTCCTGAAACTCAGGCAATTTGCTTTAATCGACCTTCAAACGGTCACGAGCATTCTAAGGTTTCATTGGGCGATGATTTTTTGATTCCCGAAACCCAAGATGTCATGCTGAATGTTAATAATCCTGTTCTACTAAATCAAGACCAAGATATTGTCAGTGAGGACGAAGGCTCGGAGCTAGGCACTCAAATACGCATTTGCACGCAGGAATTCAATGAGTACAATGAAGATGCCATTGATGATTTTGATTCCTCGCTCTTACTTGGCGATGGCGGTCTGACAGTGTTTCCGCCTCCCAGGCAGCCAGATGGTAATTAAAAGCGTTATCTTTATCTGCAAATTATTGTTTCGACCTTCTGCCTTTTAGATAACTCAGGAGTTGACTTGGATATGAGTGCCTTGAATTGGTCTGCATCCAATTCAAAATGCACTGCATTAAACAGCACCAAGGCTGTCGATGTGTCTTCGCGTGCCGATATTTGCCTTACACCAGATCTATCTGTTGCAGGACAAAAATCAGAAGAGCTTAATGATGTTCCTTGCACTCCAGACATATTTGATATGTTCGATGTTGAACCAAATGAACGCTTAGGCTCTTGCACGCCTGAATTAAATCTGCCTGCAACGGTGCTCTCTAGCCCATCGATTAAAGTTGATGATAACGAAAAGGTTTGTGTTGCAAAGCAGCCAGCGGCTACAAATATTGAGACACCAGAGCCCACTCCAGCAGAGCTGCAAGATAACTCCCAAGATTTTGTTGAAACGCAGGCATTTCCAGTGCGAAGCGCACCCACGCACTTACAACTTTCAAATTCGGATGACAATGACGAGGACTTCATTGCAACGCAAGCATTTCCTATGAGAACAGTAGGGCAACGCAAAACGAATGAATCCTCAGACAAATTGCAAGACTTTATTGCCACACAGGCGTTTGTAAGACCTAGGCCATCTATACCAAAACAAAATGAAACGACGAGCACAAGATTGAGTATTACAGCCCAAATTCACAGCCATAACGAAGACTTCATTGAAACACAAATGTTTCCCACAAAAACAACACATCCAGTGCCTTCGCTAAAGCCTATGCCGAATGGAACTGAGGACAATTTTGAAGACTTTATTGCCACACAGGCATTTATTAGACCCCAAACATCTGTACCAAATAAAGCGGTAGATACAATATTGAATATCACTGCTCAAATTCAAAATAACACTGAAGATATGATGGAGACCCAATTGTTTATCCCTCCCACCAACAAAAATGATAAAACTGCAGGTAATATGGAAATATTATAATATTATATCACCTTAACGTTGATTTCTGTTCTAGCTAATGAAAGTTCGGCTGTCATTCTTCAAATTCCCGATTCTATCAAAATTGGAGATGAACTTGATAAAGACCTCAGCCAACTGATTGCGCTATCTGCAATGCCGAGTTCACCGATAGACGATGAGCAACATAATTTTGATAAGCAATCCAACACTTTAGAGAAGACTCATGAGAGCAAGGTACTTTCTCAAGAGCAAGGCCGATTACGCAGATAAAATCGAATATTAAATCAGATATTATCAGTTCGAAGAATATCAGATCAACATGCTCTTTACCAAGAAATATTCTGAATTGTTCTAAATTTTGCAGATACATCAACCTAAGGAGTTCCCAAATAAAGTGGACGCCGTACAGGAAGATCAACAAAAATCAAGCAAAAATTCTAGCCGCAGACGTGTTTCTCCTCGCCCAGTATCCCCACAAGCGTCAAGTGAGCTTTAATAATATATAAATTATATACCAACTACATAGGTAAAAAACTGTCCTACAGCAAGCAAAAAAAAGCGCACTCGACAGTTCTCAAAATCGCCCACGCCATCAGGATCAGCAGCGTCCGGGCTTGAAAATTTAAAGATAGAAACGAAAACGAGACGGAAGCGATCGTCAGCGTCTAACGAGGAATCCACAGCGCGTGAGTCTCAGAAGCTTTGTTTGTGTTAGGCATTTTATGAACCAATTTGAATCCCTGCAGCTCCGAAAAAAACACGCGGAAAAACATCCCAGCCCACATCTGACGACACCGTAGACTCCAAACCGAAAAAAAGTGAGGCTTCTAAGAAAAAGGATACCATTGAAGGCAGCATGCTGGTTAGATTACGCAAAACTCGTACCAAAACAGAAGAATTATCGGAGACGAGTACTGCATCAACGCATCAAAGCGAAGATTCTATCAATGAAGTTAAAATTACAGCCGAAACTAGCCAAGAGCAAGTGAGGAATGATAATAAAGTTGTAAGCTGCAGCAAGGAAAGTAAATTAAGAAAACCTAAACAGTCCAGTGATGATAAACCAGCTACTAACCAGGACAGACAACCAGTAAGCCGCAGAACAAGAAGACAATCCCAACTAGTTGATATAATTGAAGCAAATGGTAATGAAATTCCCATAAATCAAAAACCTGCTGCCAAAATTGACGACGCCCTGTCCACGAGAAAAGAACTACGGCGCTCAGTTAAGGCGCCCACCGAGAAAGACACCAGCGCCACAAAAGAAGCCAAGCCTGCACCTAGCCTTAGAAGTTTCCGCAGGTCAACTAGCAAAACAGATTGTGAGTCCGTGCGGGTCTTTTTTTATGTATTTTACGTTTATAATTTATATTATATTTTATGTTATTTACAGTGACTGAGGAATCTAGAGAAGATACTGCTAAAACCAAAAAAAAGGTCAATGGGGGAGGGGATGTGGCTAAAACTAAGAGCAGCAGAAAAACATCACAAGAAGCTATTGAAAGTGACAAGGAAGAGGAGCCAACGACTAGTGCTAATGCCCCAACGCATAGTATGTGTAGTAATTGTAAAATTTAAGATTTGATGATATTTAATATAAAACTTTTCTCTTCCTCTAAAGATGCCCGCAAAAATAAGCTGCCTAGTCGGAAATCACTAAAAGGTGCCGGTTGAACTATTAAAACGCATACAGTTTATGGTAATTTGTGTATTTTCCAGATATTAACGACTATATAAAGAAGATAAAAATTTCGGGCCGAAAAATCCGCTTAGCACTATCCATGTGCAATTATGCCGAGCTGAACGCTGTATTGGTGTCATTAAAAAGTAAGTTTTTATCAATTGATTACGAAGTTTTATAGCTCATATATTTTTCTCTTTTTAGATGCTATAGAAGTCACTACGGATCCACTTGATTGTGATTTGCTCATCATGGACAAGGGCGAACGTACATATAAATTTTTGGTTGGAATCGCAGCGAATAAACCCATTTTGTCGACTAAGTGGCTACACGGCATGAAGGAGAAACGTTCTATTATCGTACAATCGGATCATATATTCAAGGATGAAAAGTTCGAGGAAACCTTCAAATTTAAACCCTTATCAGTATTTGAAAATCCCAGTTTATTGAAAGGACTAGATTTTATGCTCGCTGGTGACATCCAGCCGAATGTCAAGGAAATGAAAGGTAGTTAAATCTACAGCTCAATGCAGTTTTTCTTAGAATTTTGTTTAATTTCACAGCTATCATTGAATGCGCCGGTGGAACGGTGCACACTAAAGCGCCTCCAATTGCCAGCAATGTGCATCTGTATGTGGTTGCCAGCAAGCAGGACAAACACATTTGGCAGCTGCTCAGAAACTACAATAATGTACAATATATTAAGGCTGAAGGCGTTATGCAAGCCTTGGTACAGCGTAACCTTGAGCTGCTGGATGAGCACAAACTCAACTTGTCACTGATATGTAAATAGTTGAATAGATGTAAATAGGCTTAAAGAATTTTGTAAAGCAATCAGCTTAGTTATATAAAAAAAATATTGTGAGATTTGACTTAGATGTCGTTAACAGCGAAACCATTGTGCCGGCTGGCCAGGAGCAGCATCAAAAAATTGGAGTACGTAATCCGAATCTAACAAGGCAGTAATCACCTATTTCCTATTTCTACATCCTTGATGTTTTCTGATATTTTGATGCTGCTTCCATTTGAAAAACGTAGGCCAATTAAGTATTCGGATATTATATGCTAATTTGTATTTACTTTTCAACTTTACAACTGTTATTTTAACTATTCTAACTTCTTGCGCTTGGAACCCGTTGGCTTGTCAAATTGCTGCCGCATACCGCCGGCGCGTTCATTGTGAAATTTCATGTTGTTTGAGGTCTCGGCATACCACGGTGAATCGAACTTTGTGGTATCCTGATCAACTAAATGCGTGTACTTGGTGCGACCGCAGCGACCGAAGTTTTTCACCTGCATCACCTTGGGCAGAATGGTCTTGTCAAAGTGATCCTCGAGAGTGGCCTGCGCAAAGTCTCGTTTGAGCACATCGTTCTCCTCGTCCAGGTAGAAGGCACCACGATGATAGTATTTCTGCAGGAATTTATATTTGCCTTTGGTGGCCTTATTGGTGACGAGCTTGGGATTTGAGCGCAGTTCCTGGCGTCTCTCCTCTTCGGTGAGATTACGCATGCGTTCGATTTCAAGTTTTTCACGTTCGGCGCTACAAGTATAAGATAATATAAGATGTTTTAGTCTATTCATGTTCAATGTTGAGTGTATATAACTTACTTGTCGCGCTCCTCGCGATCTCGCTTCATGCGTTTCAGTTCACGTAATTTCCAGGCCTCGTACTCCACCTCGTCGTTCTCATCGGCTGTGCACACATCATCTAGGGACGCTTCGTTTGTCTCCGGTTTGATCTTCTCCAAGTCCTTTTTTACGCTCTCCTCGACCAAGCGTAATGTGGCGCGCCTTCGCTCCTTGGCCGCTCGTTTGGCCTCGGCTTCTAATTGCTTTTGTTTTTGGGCCTCGCGTTCTTTCTCCTGTATGGTGGCACGATCCCGCTTGCGGACAAATAGCGGCTTTAAACGCGGCTCGTTCTCTTCCTCGCTCTCTGTTTCCTCTTCGTATTCGGAGCTCTCCGACTCCGATGATTCTGACTGCTTCTCGTCTTCTTTTTGCAGCACCTCTTCTTCACGTTGCTGCTGCAACATACGCGACCGCAACTTTAAACGACGCTTTTCCAATTCTTCGTCACTTAGCTCAGAGTCCGTGTCGGATTCCGAAGCTAGAGTAATTTTATTGGTGCCGCGTTCAATGCGTCGCTGCTGTTCACTGCTTTCGTCTGGGAGAGGTTCTTCCTCGCTAGCGCTTTCTACCATTTCGGGTTCATGGATATGCCTGTGGCGTTCACGACGTTCGCGCTCCAAATCTTCCATATCCACAGGGCGTGCACGTAACCGTCGCAGGCGTGGATCGTCCACCTCAGCTTCATCCTCTTGCTGTGCCGTTTTCTCGTCCCCACTTTCTCGTCGAGACAGCTCGAGTTTGTGACGCTCCGCTTTGTTTCGCTCCATGCGCTTCCGATTGTCCACGAAATCGTCATCATCACTTTCGTCCGAGCTGGAGTCGGCGCGGGCATAATCAGGTCGCTTGCCAGAAATATAACGCTGCACCTTTACCTTTTGCATGGAAATCTCGCCTAGAGCATGGCAAAGAGATCTGTTATTTAGTTGCTTGCACGAGAGTTTTATGCTAGCTTACCTTTTTCATTTCGTATGGGCACTGCACCTGCGGTGCACTGTATGCCCGTTGGGGCGGTGGGAGCGCTCATTATGCACACGATTTACCCAAATAACTTTGTTTTTACTTAAGTTTTTATTATTTTCTGTAAGAAGTACGTTTTGTTTTTGTTAGAGCTGTTACTCTGTCGTCGATACTATCGGTTGTCGCACAGCGATAGTCATTTTGAAACAAAACCATTTCGAGTTTAACATTTTGTTTACAGACGTACAGACGCCAAACTGGCGCGCTCTGTTAAGTTTAAATATATAATGTTTTCCGCGTGACTTAGTGTTAGTTACCTGATGATGGATGTGCAATGACTCAGTACACGTTATATGAAGTCTCCCTCTAATTGAGGTACATTTAATAATTAATGCTATTTAAGTAAGACGCCGACCATTTTAGCAATTTCAACGCCCACTCTCATTAATGGAAACAATTAACAATTGTCGCTTACACTTTCTTTTTCCAATGTCCAGGGGCGGATAGACACCCAGGCCAAAGGGCAACTAAAAATTCTTTAATATATTTAATATGTATAATTTGCTTTTTTGCTAAAGGTTAAATATTGTGAAAGTTTATTTGGGAAATAGTCACACATTAATCTTTAAAAAAAGTAAATCCATTCCATTTTTAAATCCTCATTTTCAATATTTGCTGTACCTTTTATTTATTGTTAAAAACACGGCACATGTGGCGCAAATGTGACAATTCCTTAATTTTAATCAAAATTTATTGGCGTGCATGTTTTTATTTTATTCATTTGAACTATGCGACGCCGGTGACAAATGCTTTCAATTCCAATTTCTAATACATTTCAATTAAAATTAAACACTCACAACATTTTGCAAGAATAGCAAACACCATAAAAATAATTGTAAACAAATAATTTTCTATTAACAAAGAACGCAAGCCCGCTGCCTGATGTAAATCGGTACCAGATCGAACTCGTTATCGTTATCCAAGCATGAGACACCAAATATGCATAACCGGAGACGTAAGCCCCCCGCGTGCCAATTGAGCCGACCATACAGATAAAATCGTATAGACGCTCAAATATTAATTGGCGCACTTTTTTGTCTTTGCGACTCATTTGAGTTATTCAAACATTTCAAATTTACCGAGAGGGTGTTATTACTGGAACCCCCGCTAGTTAGGCGTATTGCTCAATAATTAAACCTATGTATTTTTCCGTAGAACGCACATTTTTTTCCTTTGTTGGAGAAGGTTGTCTTCGGGTGATTTGTCTTCGGGTGCGTGTTCAATTAATGCCGGGTGTCTGCTTGGAAGAAGTTGTCGCCAGTATTTTCCGCAAAGCCCTTTGAACGTATTTTCGACTCAGGCAAATTAATTAAAATGTGCGACATATCTAAGTATAAGGTAGAGTATCAGAGTACCAGCAAAGACATATTTCATTTGGCAACCAACGTTCATATTGCACTTTTCACACTGATACACCAACAATATTGCAAAAAGATCGTAATATTGAAATATTCCCTAAATAACACAATGGCACAGAACGTTTTCCAAACAGCAGATCGCATAGAATATTTTTTATTAATTGTAAAAAGTTGGAGAACATAAAAATTACAAAATGTATTTTATATGAATTTCTTGAAGATATCAATTAAGGCATTGCTCAGGTCTCCTCTGTGTGCCCGTCGCTCTGCTCTCGCTGCCATCGATCTTTATCTCGATCTCGGACTCGATCTGTCGCTATTTGTTGGCCATACTCACGCTCTCTACGGGCTTTCGTTGTGCTCTCTCCTCTGGCCTAAGATACTGAGCGTCGGAGCTGATACAATCGGCTGCTGGCCATATAAAAACCCCAAACGGTCCCCAGACAGATTCATTCATTTGAAAACTGTCAATAAGTTCGAACTGCGAGAAAACAAAACAAAACATACGCCAAACAAAAGTGTATACAAACTAACAAAACATTAAGCTGAATTTTAATAATACTTCGAAAACGAAAACACATTTGTGACCTGAAAATCCTTGTGCTCAAGTGTCTTCTTATCCCAAAAATTTGATATCTTGTGCGGAACTTAATGAAATACAAAAATAATCGCGGCACAATTCTGCAAATACAATTTAGAACATTTTTACGTTAGTTGGGCGTTAATGCGAAATCAAAACTACAACTCAGACGAACTCAAAGGATTTTTAGCGTAAGGATTAAACAACATTTCTAAAGGTGAGCGATAATTACTGAGATCTAACTAGATTTTGAGATATATCCCCATTTTATCAGAGTTCATTTATCCTGATTCATTTAATTAAATATATAAATCCTACAAATTGTACAAAATTTATTGCAAGAAAATATAATTTAAATAATTGTTAAAGATAATATTTAAATTAAAAAAAAAATGTTTAAATTGATTTCTCAATTATTGGATTTCCAACTAAGCTGAAAAAAAAACAATTTCAGCCCTCTACTCAATATATATTTAAGCAAGGGCTTCGCCCTAACTGTAAGCTGTTTCTAATCAAATTAAACTGTCGGTTATAAATTTAACAAGCACTTAAAACTCAAAAGCTAATAAGCTAATTAAGTGAAACACAAAAAAATTGAGTGCGGTTTGCAAGTGCAACAAATGAAAGATCAGTAAAATCGGTATATTATAATGTACACATTTGCAGTAGTTACATATGTACATAAATATATGGAGAAATATGTATGTAAGTCATGCCGCCAGATGATAGCCACGGAGTTTGTTTTGCGAAACTCGTAAATTATAATAAAGTTCTGTGTGCACAGCAGCAAATTTCAAGCATGTCAAATCGAATTGCGTACAACTTGTCGTGTTCCATATTATAATAAGTAACATTGTTATTATTATTATTTTTATTAATGGACAGACGTCAGACAACAAGCGGAATGCTGCCCAAAGATACGCGCATATTAATTGACTCTATCAGATCACAAGCTGAGGCCGTGGACGATGTTCACACGAAGACAGCACGAGGGGCGTCAGGAGAAAGATTGAGAGAGAGAGAGAGGGAGAGACAGAGAGAGAACGTCAGTTGCCCTTTGAGCCATTGGCGCCTTACTATTGGGCTCGCCTCTTGGCTGTAGCGCTTCAACCCAACTCGTATTTCTAGCCAAAACTGGCGAAAACCGGCGTATCCAATAATAACCAGTTAAAATCGGTTAAATCTCATTCATGCGCGTTCATTTCATGTCACTTGTGGCTATAGGCCAGGAGTTTCTCTTCTACTAAAGCTAAGCAGTTCCGTTTAGTTTACTTGTTATTCGAGTGTTCGAGTGTCTTTGGAAATTAATTGATATTTTTGCATACATTAAGCTTTCGGAAAAACTTGAGGTTCGTTTTTTGTCCTCTGACAATAGTTAATTAGTTAACGAGACTTGGAGAGTCTGCTCAAGTTTATATCCAACCACGCCCACTTATCGCCAGGGCGACGCGGCCACCTCCCCTTAGAAAACATGTAAGCCATATAACAGAACATTACAAATCCAAAAACAAGTTTTTATATTGTTAAAAACCTGGCGACTTACAACTAAAAACGCACAAATGGCGCATAAGGCAACAGCAATCTTAAAAGCTATATAACAAATAAATTAATTAAAAAACAAAATAATAAAAAAATAATAAAAAACTAAATAAAAAATATATACCAAGAATAGTACGAATTGTTCTTATGATATTTCCATTTTAATAAACGCTTTAATTATCGCATTACCATAAGTTTGTAAATTTTGCTGGTGATGTATTAAGTCAAAAACAAAAGATTTAATATTATAAAGTCATGTCCGAACTTTCCATAGTCGAAACATACGTCCTAACACCAGGAAACTGAAAGTATGTTCTTTGTCCCTGAAAAAGTTCCGCTTAAGCTAATAATGTCAATGGATATGGTATACAAATAATAATTTTGATACAATAACCAATTAACGAAGACAGTTTTTAATCAAATTGTTTATGTAAGGAAATGATAAATTTGTACTTGAACATAAAGCAGCGGCCATTGGCTACAGAGGCTGGCACGAGTTGAATGTATCTTACAGATACAATTTGAGAACTTAATTGATTAACGACGCCTACAGCCAGCCCAGCTTTGTAATTGCCGCCCTGTCGCAATTTCAGCTATAAAGCCTTGAACTTATCAACTCTCCATATATGCTATGCCATGGTATATACATATTAAAATCTTAACTTAAATTTTATTCCTTTCAGCTTGTATCTTTTGGTTGTGAGATGTAAATAAAAGGTTGTTGCATAAGCAAAACTTGATCAATTGCCTGGCCAAATCCATACAGCCCGTCCATCTCGTATTCCAACTACTTTACCAATATGTTCGGCACCATCCTGAAACTGTTGACCCTGTGCGCATTGGCCCATTCTATAAACGCCCACACGCTGAAGCAGCAGCCGCAGCAGCTGCCCATCACACCTGAGCAAAAGTATCTGATTGTGCGTGGAGAGACGCCGGCTGCATCTGCTGCATCCGAGGAGCATGTGCAGTTCAATGATGCAGCCACATTGCTGCTGTCGGCATTTAAGAGGCAACAGCTGGAAGCTGGCCCGGAACTGGAGGAGTGCACTCAGCCCGGCCATAAGGCCAGCTTTTCGGGCATTGACTATTTCATTCTGCTTTCCATGCTGGTCGTTTCCCTGGGCATTGGCATCTTCTATGGCTTCTTTCAGACGGGCGGCAGCTCCTCGGATGACTTTCTGCTGGGCTCGGGCATGAGTCTGTTGCCCGTGACCCTCAGCCTGACCACAAGCTTTATCACAGCCATAGAGCTATTGGGCAATCCTTCCGAGATGTATTTCCAGGGCACACAGTTTGTGCTGATTGTGATACCCATGCTGCTGGTCATACCGGTGGCCGTCAAGATATTCTATCCCATTTACTTCAAAATGGAGCTGACCAGCTGTTACGAGTATCTGGGCATACGCTTCGGCAAGGAGATACGCGTTCTGGGCGCCTTGCTCTATGTCGTGCAGGTGAGTTGATATGGTTAACCTGATGATGGGATCACTTTTGCTCATCCTTTTGTTACTTTCAGATGTGCTTTTATACCGCTGTTGCTGTCCTGGCGCCAGCCATTGCCTTGTCCAAGGCAACGGGCCTGGATACCAAAATAGCTGTTGTCCTCATTTATGTGGTCTGCGTCTTCTACTCCTCGATGGGCGGCATCAAGGCTTGCGTTATAGCAGATTCCTTTCAGGTGAGTGGCAGCCTTAAATATATCTTTAACTTTAATTTATATTAATTTATATTATGTAGGCTGCTGTTCTGGCCGTCTCGCTGGTGCTGATCGTCTTGCTGGGCTGCTTTTATAGCGGCAGTCCAGTCCAGGTCTTTCAGATGGCAGCTGAACGCAATCGCCTCGAGTTCTTTAAGTGAGTATTTAGCTGTCCTCTAGACCTGCCGCAATTCACAATCTAATCTCGCTTATATTTCTAATAGCTTCGATCCCAGTCCCACCACCCGGCACAGTGTCTGGTCTGTGGTCATTGGCGGCTTCTTTTACTGGACTTCGCTCTTTTGCACCAATCAGGCCTCCGTGCAGAAGTGCATGTCCCTCAAGTCCTTGAGGCTGGCCAAGATTGCCTTGGGCTTTGCCATCATCGGTCTGGTTGTCGTATTTCTGCTCAACTTTTATACAGGTCTCATGGTCTTCACCCACTATGCCGACTGTGATCCATTGAGCGTGGAGCGCATCACAGCCTCGGATCAGCTATTGCCATACTATGTGATAAATACCTACGACCACGTTTATACCGTCGCGGGCATATTTGTCGCTGGCATCTTTGCGGCTAGCTTGGGGTAGGTCTATAATTATATAACACTAGCAGATATTACCAAGATTTTCCCGCTGCCAGTTAAAATATTTATTGCATTTAAATGAACATCAACATTAAAAAAAAAAAAGTACATTTTCATCTACATCTTAAAACTTAACTTTTGTAAAAATCGCAGCTTGCTTGCCTCTCCGGCTTGGGCTGTGTGTTGATCATCAATCAGTCAATCAGTCAGTCAGTCAGTACTAATTTGCAACTTTACAACACTATTTGCAGCACTGTTGCCTCTGCCTTGAACTCACTTTCGGCTGTTACCTGCGAGGATTTGCTTATCAATGGCATGAACATTAAGATTTCACCCGAGAAGGGCGCCACCTATGCCAAGTGGATGTCATTGGGCTTTGGCGTGGGCTCCTTTGGTCTGGTCTTCATTGTGGAGCATTTGGGTGGTGTGCTGCAGGCGACGCTGACGCTCAATGGACTCATCGGAGGCGTCACCTTGGGCCTGTTTGTTTTGGGCATTGGCTGCAAACAGGCAAATTCGAAGGGCGCCTTCTATGGCGGCCTCTTGTCACTAGCTCTGGTCATATTTGTGGGCGTGGGCGCGCAATTGAGCAATGTGCAAATACCCACGCTGCCCACATCCGTGGAGCATTGCGATTGCCATGTGAATGTGACGGGCATCATTGAAGATTTACTCAGCGAAAGCTTGTTGCCCGCGCCAGAGCAGGGCTTTACGTAAGTGCCGATTATTGACGAGTCCTATGGAACAAATTATTCTAATAGTTCTCAATTCTTCTTGCTACAGCTCCTGGTCCATTTTCCGCCTGAGTTATATGTGGTTCAGCATGGTTGGCTGCTTGTTAACCGTCTTTCTCGGCTGGCTGATATCGGTTATCATTGATGCACTGCAGCGACGCAGCGTGCTTAAGATTACGGCCAAGGGCATTGACAATCCCGCCATCACTGAGGAGGTCTTCAAGAGCGACAACCCAGTGCTCTTCACCACAATGAAGCCAGTTGAGCTAACCAGCGGGGAGGGGCATGTGAATTTGGCCATACGCCTCGACGACGAATACAATACCAAATAGATGCCTTCTACGGCAGACAAGAGCATGACTAACATAATATTCCTGGTGCAACCTGTAACCTCCATGTACAAAGCTATCCTAGTTCGTAGTCAATTCGAGTCGCAATCCTAACTGTCTAAGCTTAGTCGAATGAGTGATTTCTAGTTTGTAAGCTCACATCTATGGCTATCCATGGACAGTATTTTACTAATTTTAATATTTTTACACATGTCAAGTGTGAATTTGTCCTAGTTCTAGATCAATTTACAACGCTGTTCTTTGCGTTAATAATAAAATGTATTAATTGTATGTTGCATGGGAGCAGTGCAATGATATTGGACGCCACTGTAAGCGTGATCACAGTCCTAGCGGTGACACAAACCAGTTGCCGCTACGAACGTTCATTGCTAAATCTTTGTTGCCAGTGTTGCATAATTTGTCCAGGTATTTTATTTATTTATATGTAACGTTTTTCCTTATCTGTGAGTTTTTGAAATTTACACGGAATGGCTGCTCTCTGGAGAGTTTTGATATAATATTTAATTTTTTCGAGTTGATATTTAATCCACCTCCGTATATAGAGAAAAGTTTGTTGTTTTTATAATCGAATTGCTTTGTTGTGAATTTTTCAAAGACCTTTATTTTGTGTTGGAATTTAAATTCGAAAAAATATGCACACGTTAAGTACAATAGTTAATGAATTAATTAATTAGCTTTATAAGTAAGTATTATGATAATTACGCAAAATGTACAATTAAAAATGCTAAACATATATTTACAATATCCTTTTCCCTTGCAGCATGTCCTGGCGATCACGTTACGCTTATTTCCTCATCACTGTCCGAGTTGGAGTCGTCGTAGTCCTCATAGTACAGCTTCATGAACTCCGCGCTCTGGAAGTGGGCGGCGGATGTGGGCGTGCCACTGGGCGTCGCTTGCTGCTGCTGTTGCTGCTGCTGCTGCTGCTGCTGCTGGTGATGATGATGCAGCTGCGCAGCGGCTGCCGCGGCGGCCAGCTCCACCTCGCGCATGGCCGTGAAGTGGGGCGAGTGATGCAGCTGCTGCAGCTGCTCGAAGCGCCGCTGCTTGGCCTCCTGGATGCTGCTCTCCAGCTTGAACTTGAGATCAGCTGCCACCAGCTGCTTTTGCATCTCCGCATTGATCTTCGCCTGAAACTCAGCGGCGCTGCCAATGCCTGGCGGCGAAGACGCAGCCGAGGAGACCGTCGGCGTTGGTGTGGGCGTGCCCGATTGATCGCCCATCTTGATGCTGGTGAGCAGCGGCGGCGGTGAGCTGATTTGCATGCCAAAGCCGTTGCCGCCGCCCGTTGGGTGGTTGATGGACGTCGGCGTCGGGGCGCCCTCCACTGGTGAACTGCTGCTGGCAGATTGCGGTGATTTGGGTGTGACAGCGGCCGTCGCTGCCGCTGCTGCTGCTGCTGCTGCGCCTGGCTCATCCTTGGCAGCAGCTGCCGTTGGCGGTGGCGTGGCGCTGCCGCTGGGCGAGAGCAGCGACGGCGACAGCGGCGTTAGCGGGCGATCGCATTTGGCATCGGACAAATCCGGATTGGGATTGTTCTTGTTGGGCAGCGTCTGGTCGCGTGAGCCGCCATTTGCCAGCAGCTCGCGCTCCTTCGAGTTGCGCCACTTCATGCGGCGATTTTGAAACCATATTTTTACCTGCAATTGCAAATGAAATGGGTAAATTGAATATGTCCAACTACGGATGGATGCCTGTCCGTTGCAGCTTGCGCCGCCGGCCACTGACAAGGAGCTGGCCCCGAAAAGTTTTCATGACCACAGGCGCAGATAAATTCATGGTCAAATCCAACTTTTTGGCCAACAATTTTGCTCAAAAACTTTCTGTGGCAAAAGGCAATGGCTGCCAGAGAGGACGGAGTGGTGGCTGGCTGCCGTGTGTGTGGGCGTGGCTGGGGCTAAAAGTTTGAACTGCAATGCCAACAACAGACGCTGGCATATCCATAATAAATGCAAATGAGAGACATTTACTAAGCGGCTACAAATTGATTAGAGGCCGCACAGTGGAACCAAATGCAGTCAAAATAAAGCAGCAGGCAACAAAGTTGCAAACTGGTTCCGAGCCAAACTGGTTCGTGCACTTAATAAAGAACAATTGTGAACCTCGCTTGGATTAAAAGAACTTAATGGGATAATGTGAAAATAATATTCAAAAGTATCTTGAAAGTTTTTAAAAATGCGAAGAAGTTATTTCATTTTGAAAAATTTGAAACAATCTGAATTGATTTATTTCATATTGAAAATAAATGTGTCTAAGGCTCGAGTTGACGAATGGAACCTGAAGGAGAGAAGATAAACATTTGCGGCGCACTCTTGAGACACTGTGCCCAAAAGTTGGACCAGCAAAAGTGCTGTAAGCGAATGTGTGAGTGTGAGTGTTTGTGTGTGTGTGTGTGTGTGTGAGCTTGTGTGCGTGCGCTTGTGTTTATGTATTGCTGCATTTGACAGGGACAGTGAGAGACAAGTAGGACGCAAACACTCAAAGCAAATTGCAGCCACCCTGGCAACCCTGGCAGCCCAGGCCGCTGCGAACTTTTGCGACTGTTTTTGAGTTATTATTCAATGGGTGTTTACCTCCGTTGTGTTACAGTTGCTCTGTCTGGGACACAGCTGGACACTCGCACTTTGTAGCAAAGCCCAAGCCAAACAATTTGCAACAATTTATAGGATTGCCGCCCAAAAAAAGAAAAGGACTGCCCGATGCCAACACGTAATTAGTTCAAATTTTTGGAATGCAAATTGATGCGTAAAATTGACTTGTAGTCAACGGCATGGAATAAGACCCACACCCGCTTCTCGATATAATCGGCAGGCATATAAATAAATAAACAACAGCTACAACAACAACAACAACAACAACGGCGACAACAAGGATAAGAACAGTGCTGGAAAGTGCTGACATGTTGAACAAGCGATTAACCGCAGAGATTTGGCGTGCTGAACGGTCGCTGCCTCAGCCTTGGCCTCGGCCACGGCCACGTGCCGACTTTTTCGGTTTTCCTTTGCTTTTTGTCGGGGGGGATTTGCTGTTTTACTTACTTCCGGTCATTGAATTTTCCAGCGTCTGTCGCACCCAGCTCCCCGGGCAGACCCCTCCCCCCAACCACGATGCAACAGCAGCAGCAATTGAAATAATAAGCTCAGGCGGCGATAAGATTAATGATTATGGCCCAGCCCGAATTGTGAGCAGAGCCTTCGTCCTGGCCACGACCAGGACGCCGTACTCATGCCCGTTCTCGTCCTTTGTCGTCGTCTGTTTTTGATTGAAATTAATTATAAAGCGTGCAATTTAGTATGCGTCTACGACTGGGGCGCCGCAGTGCAAAAAGTCGACTGGAAAATGGACCTGAAACTGGACCCCCGCCCACTCCTCCACTCTTTTCTCCTCCTCTACCCCACTCTAATCCTCGCCTATGTCCAAGTTTAATGAGCTTGAAATTATGATGTTTGCTTTGGCTTTTAATAGGTTTAATTTCCCTCTGGCATTTAACAAGCCAACGAGTGCCCCGAATTAGCGCATATCTAAAATATATTTAGTTATATTAAATCCGTTTCTAAACTTAATTTTCTGATATGTAAATTATGGAATTGGGCGCTCTCATACTAAACCAATTAGAGGTAATTCGTATAAACATAAATGAGCTTTTAGCATGTTTACAAATATTGCGCTTGTTTTGCCCAGCATATTGTTAATGTAGTACATCAATTGGTTTTTATTGCCGTTTTATAATATAATTTATGCACAACTAAATGACATTGGTTTGTGTCCATTATGTGGCTAATATGCTTATACATTAGAAATTCTGTGCAAATTGTTGTCATCGATTTGCAAATGCGAATTCAGTTTTAATTTTATTTGTGCAGTTTTTAAAAGATCTAATAGCAAAGACAGGGAGTTTAGTTAGATCCAATATGAGAAAAGACATATCAGAAGACAATCTATTTGAAGTAAACAAAGTATAATTCCTATACGGATGTTTTAGACAGCTCTAAGGACCTTTGGCTATTAAACTCTGTAATCAAATGAAGCGTTTAAATGATGCCCACGAAGGAGTCGACACATTATCCTGAGCCAGTTTCAGCCCCATTGGTAAGTAAGTAACAGATTTTTCTGACACGCCGCCTGCATAACGTGCAGAGCATTTGTTTGAAGTTTTTATAAGCCAAGCAAAGCGGAAAGCAACCGGAATGGGCGGCAGACGCAGTTGTGGTGTGGGGGGGGGGGTGGGAGGGTGTGGGAAATGGTTGGCTCAGTCAGTTTAGCTACAAATTGCTTTGGCCAGGCGACGGCCTCCCTTTTTGCCGAAAATTGACTTTGGCAATGAGCACAAGCTGTTGTTCGTGTGGCTGACTCCGGCTAAAGAGGTGGAGTCGGAATCGGAGTCGGAGTATGAGTCGGAGTATGAGTCGGAGTCTGGGTGCGGCAACACATGTTAACTAATGAGGCAGTTGCTCGCCGTGGGGTGGTTTTGTCAACCCATTTGTGTGCTGCTCGAGCGGCCCGGCATGTCATTCGATATGCTGCGTAATAGCGTATTAAATAGTCTGCTACTATTTGCCAAAGTCATTTCGAGTCATTTCGTCTACGTTTTGGGTTACCAACAATTTGCTACTCGAGCCACTGCCCAATGTCCTGGCTGGCTGTGCTTATTGTTTTAGGACACGGCGCCGACTGGGTAGCTGCACCCCCCGCTCCCACTCTTGGTCCCTTCCAGCATTTATTTAGCAATTTGTCATCAATTTATTTTGTAACCAAAGCTGCAAATGATGGTTTTTAATGTTTCTCAATCGTTTTTGCAAGTCGAGAAATGAAATTCGAGTTACGAACACATTTTGCCATATTCAACAGCTCTTTAACTGCCGTAAAAGTGGTTAAGGCTTAAGGAAAATTTGTAAATGCACTAAAATGAATTAGAATTTTAAAGTTAACTAGAGTAAGGTCTTTTGCCTAGCAGTTTTCTTGAGAAGTTGGCTGAAGGTAAAGGGAAATGCAATCTTAAATCATTCGCAGATCTCTCTCTCTCTCTCTCTCTCTCTCTCAAAGCCATTAAGCAGCTAGCAAAAGTCATAAAAAACAAGCTAAGCAGACCGAAAAGAACAGCGCGTTGGTCTATTATATGTCGTATATATATGTATGTAAGTATGTAAGCATTAACTCTCATGTGTTCACAGATTATTTATCATAAAATTTGATTTAAAGCGTTTGCGGTTCGAGTAAATAAAAAACAGCAAAATCGGAACGACAAACAAATGAAAATCGAAATACAAAAA